TCTTGCCCTGGAATGGACCAAGAAGAAGAATTCGAAGGCTCGCAACGTCAAAGCAATGTCGACGCTTTCGACCGACCTGGCAAACCTAGTTGCCGACACCATCCTGCAGCTCGAGGACGCAAAGAAGCGTGCTGTTGTTATCAAGCAGTGGGTCAAAGTTGCGGCAAAATGCCTGGAGCTTAACAATTACGACTCGTTGATGGCCATCATCTGCTCGCTCAATTCATCCATGGTCATGCGTCTCAAACGTACATGGGAAATTGTGTCCACGAAAACGAAGGCTCGCCTAGATGAACTGAAGGCAATTACCGACGTAGGACGTAACTATGCTGTGCTCCGACAGCGTCTGCAAAACCATGTCGCGCCATGCATTCCATTCGTCGGTATCTACCTTACCGATCTTACGTTTATCGACGTCGGCAATGGCACCACACGACAGCTCCCCGGAGATTCCGGTTCTGACAGCGTCTCCGTCATCAACTTCGACAAACACATGAAGACAGCTAAGATCATCGGCCAGCTCCAATCATTCCAAGTTCCTTACCGACTGGCTGCCATACCAGAAATGCAGGACTGGATGGAGAGCCAAATCCAGCGAATGCACGCAAGCGACCAGGCCAACGTGCAAAGCTACTACCGCCGATCGCTGCTTCTTGAGCCTCGTGAAGCTCAACACTCTACGAGAGGCTCGCCCTCCATCGACAACAGTGCACAAAGCACATTCTCAGCAGAGAGCCGAACCAATTCGAAAGACAAGTTCGAGTTCCTCAACTTCAATTTCTCGACCGCGAACCTCAAGGGTTCATAGACATGTGTACTGCGCTTCATTGCGCCTTTCTTCATCGACCGCCTCTGGATGGCGCCTGATCACCGACATACCCTAATGTTTGCGTTTACACTGCATCTATTCTTGTCCTTTATGTCACGGACACTTACGATACCAATGCCCGAGTTCCTTTTGTTTGTTCTATACCACTTCAGCGATTTCTTTTCCGGGTGGGCTCATTTGTATTCTGCATACTCTGCAAAGACAGATCACAGGTATCTGCGCAACATTTCATACTTTTTGCATACCCATTGGGGCTTTTGGGAGCCTGTATCAATCAGGTCTTTGGCGTTAGGAAGAGGAAAGAAGTCGCTATTACAGCAAACGGTGTGTTGCTGCGATTAGCGGTTAAAAGCATTACACGATGGGCACTGGAAGACAAAATACGTTCTTTCGTACCCATAGAACCATGTACTGAGCCGTCTACCGGACTGCAGCTCTCTGAATCAAAGAAATTCTCAAACCAACTACCATCTATTCGCATTGTGACAGCACCTTATACAAGAAGAAAATTAAAAGACATCTAATATAAAAGGCAGTGTGTATGATTGTCGTGTGATAGAGCTAGAATACATCGTGGCAGATCATGATGGCAGCTGCTTCAGGGTGGGATTTCCATGTGGGGTTAAAGCTAGCGATTGCAGCGACCCCTCCACCCTCATTCCATCCGCCATCGCGTCGCATAACTGCCCCGATATCCTCTCTTCTCCCCACGTCTATACCAATCCACGCCATACTGCGCACGCCGATGACCACGATGACCACCCAAGACCTTTTGATCGACGTCCGCTCCCCAGCCGAGTTCTCGACCGGCTACCTTACCACCGACATCGCACCCACCGTAAACATTGAATACCAGGTCATCGATCAACTACCCGAAATCTACGCAGCGAAAGGCATAAATGTGGGAAAAGACGATCGAATTACGCTGTATTGTCGGAGTGGAAGACGCTCGGGTATTGCGCTGGGAAGGCTAAGGGAGATGGGGTTCAAGAGCGTGAGGGATATCGGAGGCTTCGACGAGGCCAGAAAGGTGTTGGATCGCGAACAGGTCCAAAGGCAGTTGGATTCCGAGCTAGAGAAGAGCATGGTACATGATGCTAAAGATGCAGGGAGTGGTGAGGATCCGAAGAAGCATGTTAGGGTCAAGAGCTTTGGCGCGTTGGTCGACGGATTGAAGGCACTCGAAGAGTGAGATGTCCAAGTTCATATGATGCGATTGGGAATGCAGGCATATGGGGCGCATGCGCTTCTGTCAATGTTCACCGCTGAGCTTCCGGTCAATCATCCTGCGGAGCATCGACACGAGGAAAACCGGAGTTCAGGGCACAATGGGGGTGAGACGATTTTGTCTAGTGGTACACAATATAAAGGTAAAGAATCTTCCTCAAACGAGTGGATGAAGTTGGTTTCCCCCAGTTCAAAACTCTAGCACCCTTCGAAATACCACTGCTAACCCCCCTACTTAGTCCTGCAAGCACCGTGTCTCCACGCTTCAATCTTTCCTCGAACTACTCTGGTCTATCTAGTACTTCCCGATGGAATGGCACCGGTAGGCATGGCAGTGCCAGAAGGCATAGCGCCGGAGGGAGGAGCACCACCCGGGCCACCACCCATACCACCAGAGTTCTCGTTCTCGACGCCACCTTCGTCAGTCCAGTACGCCGCTGGGGTGATGTTGTAAGCGCTGGCAGAGTCCATGCCAAATGCCAGCCAACCAAAAAGACCCTCTGAGATGTCGTTGCCGAGCATGACATACTCCACAAATGGATCAACATCCGCAGCTTCCTCCGCAAGAATGGAATCGTCGGCATTTGAAGTGACTTCCTGTTCATTGCTGGCGTACGGTTCCACTGTATCCGCGAGAGTGATGAGATCTTGGTCGAAGAACATCTGGCCCACGTGTGTGATGTGGCCGCCTGAGAGGGTCGAGTTGGCGTTTACAGTCGCGTTGAGTCTAGACATGACGTGAATGTGCGTCTACAACATTGTCTCGAGTTAGTTCCTGTTTACTCAGAACAAGGGTGATAGAAACCTGTAAGCACTTACAGCACGTCCAGTGTAGTGCCCTGGAAAGACAGTTTGGAACGAAACGACGCCATTCTCATCACTCTGCTGGATGCCACGCAACGCCGTGTTCTGCAAGTTGGACTCGTCGTCCTCGCCAACTCCGTTGCCCTGCGCTACAACACCAGAGTATACGCCGGTAGCGTTGCAGTGCCACATCTCGAGGAAAGCCTGAGGAACAGGCTCGCACGTGTTCACGTCGATGATCTGGATATCCAGTGTCATGGGGATGCCCTCTTGGTCTTCGGTAACATCCTCACGCACGAGTTCGCCCTCGACCCAGTAAGGGCCTTGGGTCACCTCGGGTGTAAGGACGCAAGAGTTGTTTCCTGCAAAGAGGGTGGCGGGATCAGTATCGGCGGTAATGCCAGTCATGTTTGACTTGTGATCAGTGGCGAGCACAGTATCGAGGTCGCGGATCCGGAGGTACGGTTTATCTGTGCGACATATCAGTATCCAGCCATCAGCGTACTCTGAGAGGGAGTGTACCTTGAGCGATAGCCCGCTTGGCTCGAAGTTTCTCTACCATGGCACTGCGGCGGACGTGCATAGCGATATCGTTACCACGCGCCTTCAGTGTATCAGCACAGTGGGCAAGAGACCGCTTGTTGTTCGCGAGGTAGGCTCTTCGCTCAGCAGCTTCCTGGGCATGCTCTGCGGCGCTCTGGCCTGGGTGAGCGAGAGAGCTCTGCGCAAGGAGGGCGGCGCTGAGAAGAGCTGTGAGCTTCATGATGGGAAGATACTTGTTGGGTCGAGGGTGCGAAGAGAAGTGATGGTGGTGAAGGCTTGCACTGCTCTCGACCAGGAGCTTTATATCTATCGTTTGGATGCCTCGATGTCAAGTCTGGATCGCGATGTCGACAGGGGAAACGAAACAGAGGCATGGTACTCGTCCCCCTACCCTTGCTCTACGCCTTAGGCCCACTGTCCTGCATGTTTCTCTTCTACCTGTACGAGTCGTCACAAGCATACGCAAGACATTGTATTGTTTCGTAGTGTCCTCAGTCTTGGCGAAACCATGAATTCGAAGCTTGTCTAGAAGCAGGCGGGTTCCCATGCACGCTTAGGCCCGCCGCTGAAAGCTTCATCTGTGTCGGTTGGCCTTGTTGTTGGACTACGTACTGTATGGTTGGTGGTAATGTTGAGAAACATTCTCCTTAACTATATGAGCATCTACTACATATATCTTTGCTCTCTCAGATTTTATCACTGTCGGGCAACTGTGTATGACCTGTCTGTTCTTTCGATACCTCTCCCAACCTCTGAATCTACACAATCGGCATCTCCACGCCGAGCGTCAACGTCAGTGTTCCCGCTGAAACAGTTCTCTATGCTAAATCCAGTCCATTTCCATTGCGTGGTTCCTGATTGGAGGCTTACGTGGCTGTCTGTGTTATACTGGGAAGGGCTGTAATGTCTAGAGTGGGTACCCAAGCGCGAGGCTAAACGATTTTGAGAGGCGATGGGCCCTAGAACTTGCAGTCTAGTCCACAAAGCTCATTGACATGCTTCTGGATTGGTTGCGCTACTGTTGACGTGCCTTACGTATGTGCGGGTCAAGAACCGCTAGCTTCCTCCGAAGAAGACGCGTAGACATGTCTTGGCAAACGCTTCCACCCCAGCTTCAGCACACTTTGAATGCACGCGCGCATCCGGAGTATTTCTTATCCATATTGTGAGATTACTATGGCCAATGGGAGGTTTCGCGATTACGCAGGTGATGGTTTGGATCCACGGCATGTTCCAGGAACGACGCTTGGTAAAGTCTGTGGGTGCTTGCGTAAGTATGCTAAGAGACTTGGGTGCGGGACGAAGACGCGAGTAAACAGCTAAGCGTTTCGAATTGGTGCTTATCGTGTGTACTTGAAGCTTGGGGACGTATGGTATGACGGAAGGGCGGGTTTGCTACATGGATTTGGAGCGACTTACGAACGTCAACACAATGACCCTGCGCTACGTCAATAGACTTGCGGGTGATTTCTGGTTGTTTTTGCAATAGTAGTATTGATGTGGTTGAAATGTTATTACCGATGCATCTTGCCGTGACTGTTCTGTGCACCACTGTACATCTGGTTCACATCTTTGTAGACTGTGGACTTCCCGTCTATCATTCGAGATGCAGCTCGCCTTCGCGCTCGGCATAGGGATAATACTTCTGTGTTTCAGTCCATAACGTTTCTTCGTCCATCTGGCTTGCATCCAGGCCTGCAATGATGTCCCTGAACATGTGTAAGCGCCATCTTTCCAATCGTCAATGCGACTTACTTGTCTTCAGCCAACACTTCGAAGCCCGGTACACAATCAATGAGCGCGTACATAACATAGCTTCCGATGAAAGACCATGAGAATCCGACGAGAGCCTCCACAACCTGAATACCGAGCTGGCGTACGTTCCCATCGAAGAATACTCCACCAACAATTTCTGTGACTCCATCGTATCCTGCGACTTCTTTCCGAGCAAAGCAACCAGTCGAAATCGTTGCTAAAATTCCACCAAGGCAGTGTGTCGCAAAGGTGTCGCCGTGATCAACCCATCTCCAGCGTCGAGCGAAGTCGCTAAACTTTATGCGAAGCGCTTGACGACAGAATAGTGCACCGAGCACCCCGAAAAAGAAGGCTGTTGGTAGATCAATGAAACCTGCCGAAGGTGTGATCATAATGAGTCCAGAGATGGCGCCCATGAAACATGAGTCTAGACTCCAGCGCCCAATTTCGACATACGTGTAGAGCATCCACGTGAGCGCTCCACTGGCAGCACAGAGGTTCGTGACACACAAGGCCATCACTGACTTGAAGTTGAACGCCAGAGTGGTGCCCGCGTCAAAGGCGAGCCATGAGCCCCAGATGCTGATCATCGCGAGAAGTTGGCAAAGAGAATTGACCGGCCGGTGGATGACCAGATGCGCTGGTGTACGGGTCGAGGACTTGCGCGAGCGGAACAAAGGGTACGAAAGGTATACGGAAATCGCCGTTGCTGTTGCTCCGGAATTGATGTGTACGGGCGTACCACCTGCGAAATCTAGAACGCCTAGGTCCATAAGGAAACCTCCACCCCAGACCATATGAGCTAACGGATTGTATATGAATGTAGACCAAAGCTACCATTTGTCAGTGAAGCTCACAGGTATGCCGTCGTTCTACAGGTAGGACTCACAAATATGAATGGTATCAACGGCAGTATTCTCCCTCTCTCACACGCGCCGCCAACCGCAATGGCACAAACTGTGGCCTGGAATACTAATTGAAAGAAGCTGAATAGCACTGCTGGAATGGTACCAACAGGCTCTGCTAGCACATTCCTGTGAAAGGCGTACTTGAAATCTCCAAAAATAGCTCCTCCTTCTCCGTATGTCAAGGTGTATCCAATGAGGAACCATTGTATCGAGCAGACGATCACTGCTAGGATAGCTGGCATAACTGCTGCTAGAGAATTGGAGCGTGTAGTGTAACCTGAATACGCTATGCCTACAGCTGGAATGATACCCCAGCCTCGACAAGGTTAGTCAATGTAGTGAATAGTTGTGAAAGGTATACATACAGAAGACCGAACAGACAAGCACGAAGAGTGTATCAGTCCGGTCGCAAGCTTCCCAGGCCTGTAGGACCTCGGTAGGCAAGCCCATGGTGGAGGTTCTTAGTAGAAGTTCGGTGTCAAGGTCAATAATCCTGCTATAACAGTGTATATAGAGATGCAGGTAGTGAGTACGAGGCTATACAGCGGGGAAGACGTGGGCAAGGGTTGAAGCTGCAGCAGGTACAAGCAAGCCACCTCGGCTGAGCGTATCCTGTTCCCGGAGTCCGCTTTCTTTCCCTTCCCAAGTGCCCAGCATTGAGGCGCTTGATAGGCAGTATGTGCAGACGCCATTGGCTTAACTAGGAGATCGTGTCGATCGCTGCGCGACGATAAGATAAGGAAGGCTCCCCATGGTCGTTAACAGGAAGGCCGGGTGAAAGGTGCATTAGCCGAAGCCATGTTTAGCACTACTTTCTGCTGCTCGTGACTTTGTGATATGCTTTTGCGGCGCTTCATACGCGAACATGGTAATTTAACAATTCGATGGAGTGCCGGCACCAGATGTCGATGAAGTGTCACAAAGGCCTCGATCGCAGACCGGGGGCGGCGCTTTCCCACATTCGGTAACGCTAATGCCGTTTTGAGCCTACGCAGAGGCACATCCAATGTTCACGAACTGTGACCACGGTTCCTGATCAGCGCGCCAAAAATGTCGGATAGCGAAGAGAACGATTTTTTCGGTGTCAGTCAGGACCTCGTTCCCCCTGCGCCTATCAAACCTGCGGGCGCTTCCGAGATAGATTTTGACGGCCTACTGTCACCCCCACTCAAACTACATGAGGACCTGAAGAACGGCTGCGGCGGTCAACTATGGCCGGCCGGTATGGTACTGAGCAAATACATGCTGCGGAAACATCGAGAGGATGTCGCAGGTAAAGAGATAGTCGAGCTTGGTGCTGGAGGCGGGCTCGTCGGGTTGGCGGTCGCGATAGGATGCAAAGTCGACACCACATTACATATCACGGATCAAGAGCCGATGTTCGAACTCATGAAGCGCAACATCACGCTGAACGCTCTGCAGTCTCGTGTCAGCGCTTCAATATACGACTGGGGAGAGCCGACGCCATCACAGCTACCAGCACACCCGGACATCATCCTGGCAGCGGATTGTGTATATTTCGAGCCTGCTTTTCCGTTGCTGCAAAAGACCCTACAAGACTTGATCGGCGACAAGACTGTGTGCTATTTCTGCTTCAAGAGGAGGAGACGGGCAGATCTGACGTTCATGAAGACGGCGCGAAAGATGTTCCACGTGCAGGAGGTGGACGATGATCCTGATAAGGAGGTGTACTCGAGGGAAAAGCTGTTCCTGTAAGTGTAGAAACTATGTGATGAGCCACAGCTGACGCATGCAGTTATCGCATAACGAAGAAGACTAGTTGATGGAAGGACAAGATTGTGGTGGACTAGCATCTGAATAGATGGTTGGCTGCAAGTCACGACGTTCAGTGCAGGTCCATGGGTAGAGTGTCGCGAACCCTGGTAGCCCCTTCTGATAGCCAAATTCCCGATTTGTCCCTTCTTATATTATCTGTCCAAGACATCCGTTGTCGAGAAGGATACCATTCATATTTATTCAACCATGTCGCACTGCTGCATGCGCGCTTTGGATTTGCCCGATGAAACTCGACCCACTCCGGACCCTTATGGATACCTCCGGTCACTTCCCGATGTTTCTACAAGTCTTGATATTGCTCGCCATCGGCCGGCACTGGCATTTCTCAACAGCATAACGCCCACAAATGCTACTTGCGAAGACATACATCCGTTATTCCAGCAAGCGCAGTGGGTGAACTTAAGCTGCGAGACCTACCTGCAGCTATCACCTGCTCTGAAAATTGCTACGCAGCTTACTAGGCAAGCATCCTCCCTGTGTTTCCACAACCATGTCCTTCATGGGGAACTCAAGTATCTTAAGGAGAAGCGAAGGTATTATCTTGCTCCATCGGTATATGAGGCAACTCAAACAGCTCACCTGATGACGACTGAAACGCTTGACATCACCCTGCCGAGATATCTAAGGCTCGAGTTTGATGAACTTGACGAGGACGGGTTCCAATTCGATGCCATGACATATTTCGGCGAAGGCGCGAGTGTTTCCGAGATTGTATACTGTCCACGGATCCAGCTCCATACTCATCACCTCTACGCACTCCGTCACGTTATCAATCATGGGTCTCTATACGATCAAGAGGCGATCTTCCTGAGAATCGCTATCGCTCTTTGCCACGAACTTGCCCATGTCGTCTGGTATCATCGCAGCAGCATCGAGAATTCATCCTCGTAAGTCGATCTTTGAACATGTTCATTGCGAGTTGCCACTAACATATTTGTAGACCCACGACTACCCATGGCGACCCTCTTTATCAGTTGGCTGACACCGATCCCGAACTAGGGAATGCTTGGGAGCGTTATACCTTCGGCGGCAACATCTGGACTATCGACTATCCGGGCAAGATTACTACGTATTACTACCAGTTGGATGCAACATCTGGTCGCAGCGATTATGATACGCGCATTATTGTACCACGCTGGTGGGTACACATGTTCTTCCTCCAGCCGATATGGACCTACTTCAGTCGACTACATCATCAGGGGCTACTGCGACTACCGACCGAGCTCGAGAGCGGTTGCGTATTCCGTAAGCATTCACCAGAAGCGAGCATGGATTGGACTATGTATATTCATGGCGCGAAGCAGGAGCCAGCTTGCATGATGACGCGTGCGGTGCCATACTTGTTATGGAACCTTCTGAGGCCTGCCCTAAATCGCCTCGAGAATTGCAATAGATTTGAAGACGGATGGGAATGCCCAAGCGAATCGGAACGCAATCGGGAAGAATATGAGGAGATGTGCAGGTCGCTAGTAGATCAAGCGGCGGCACCTCATACAATGTCGGAACTAGACGTGTCTCTTTCACAGCCTACATTACAGTACAAACGGTAGATCAATGAATGTAGCGTTCACGTTGGCCTCGAAATTCTCTGCGAATATGATTATTCTTCATACTGATTTCTTCGCCGGGATAGATAGCGATTACACCACTAGCTCAAGCGCTCTCTTTAGTTTTACGTGGATGCGACTCGTGCCGGCTCTCGAAAAACTTGGCCGTAATCCCGATCATGGCGATAACAGCAGAAACCGCGAGAAAGTTGACAATCATGTTGCCCTTTTCCCACTCTTCCTCTACCTTGATGTTCCTACGCAGCTTTTTCCGCCTAGCCCAAATATGCTCGTTCACGTTGTCCTGCGTTTCCTTGTGCCTGACGTTGTCAAAGTGTGGAACTTGATTCCCTTGTTTCTGCTGACCAGGGCCAAATCCACCCCATTCGCCGTAGGATTCTTGACCAGCATGATTGGATGCCTCCCCACCTTCCCGTGCGTTGGAATATGCGTATTCGGCTCGCTTCGCGCCGTGACGTCCATAGCCGCCGGCCTTATAGAACGAGGGCGGTGGCCCTCGGAAGGTACTTCGCTTCTTGTTCAGCCCGCTGGCCGGCCTTGAGCCATATGCAGCGGAACTGTAACTCCCTTGCGGATATTCACTCCCGCTCGTTGCCCAGCGCGACTGTCTTTGCGAGTGCTCTAGTTGCGCATCGTATTGCGCACGCTTCTCTGGTACAGAGAGAACGTGGTATGCTTCGCTTATTGCGACAAAACGTGTGGAGGCTTCGGGGTCGTTGCGGTTATGGTCCGGGTGGTTTTTCTTCGAGAGCGTATAGAACTGGCGCTTGATCTCAGAAGCAGTCGCCGTCGAAGTGAGGTGTAGCGTCTCGTAATGATTGACTAGGGCGTCCGCGTATCGTGGGGCCGTAGCATGGAAATGCGAGACTTGTATGCGTCGCGGAAGAGCAGGACCCGTGCGACGGAGACATGAGTGACAGATGTATGGCGAGGATATGCGCGACAGACGAGAAGTCGACGTTTGAGCGATTGTTCGCAGTAGGCTAGATGGGCGGGGTGGCATTGCCCATTACCAGTATCCGAAGGTGAGGGTGCCCATGCAGAAACATGAGTCTGGGTGAATGTTCGGCGCGCATGGAGGACGTCATCGCCAAGCTCCCGAGGCTAAGACAAGCATGGCCTAGCTGCAGAACCCAGTCAGTGGGCGACGCTCCACCGGCGTCAGTTAGCGGGGCGTTTCGAGACGCTCGTAAATTTCGAGATTGTCTAAGAGACAAGCACCACTACATTCTCGACACGGCCAACATGGCGGCCAAGGTAGCGGACGAAGTCGCCAACATGAAGTGTATGGAAGCGCTACCTCTCGCGTTACATCGCCTAACAGCGTACAGTGGACGACACCAACGGCAAACCAGCAAATGGTACAACGGAGAACGGCGAAAAGCCCACAGGCGATGCGGATCACGAAGACTCAGACGATGACAACGAGGCCGAGGATGGAGCACCAGAAGCCGGCGAAGGCGCTGCGAAAAAGAAGAAGAAGAGGAAGCCCAGAAAGAAGAAGAAGGCTGGCGCAGCAGCCGGCGCAGGAGGGCCCAAGGTGCAGACGTCACCGCCACGAGTTCGCATCGATGAGCTGTTCCCCAACGATTCGTACCCCGAGGGCGAAATTCAAGAATACGTCAACGAGAACGCCTACCGGACCACCAATGAAGAGAAGCGCCACCTCGACCGCATGAACAATGACTTCCTCACCGAATACCGCAAAGGCTCAGAGATCCACCGCCAAGTTCGACAATGGGCTCAGAACTGGATCAAGCCGGGCATGTCGCTTACCGAGATTGCAGAGGGTATCGAGGACTCGGTTCGCGCCTTGACAGGACACCAGGGTTTGGAAGATGGTGACGCGCAAATAGCGGGCATGGGGTTCCCGACTGGTCTGAGCATAAACCACTGTGCAGCGCATTACACCCCCAATGCGGGCAACAAAATGGTCATCAACTACGAAGATGTCATGAAGGTCGATTTCGGCGTACACATCAACGGACGTATTGTGGACAGCGCGTTCACCCTGACCTTCGACCCCGTATACGACAATCTCATAAACGCGTGCAAGGCTGCGACAAACGCCGGTATCAAGGAGGC